ATGATTCAAAGCGCTCGTAACAGCCACCTGTCCTGAAATGATCTGCCACATAAGATGACACATCTTCGGGGGTGCCTTAACTTTCCAAACTTGTGCTTGAAGCCTTTTAAAGCTAGGTTCATCTACCATATTCTCCTCCTCCATCATCAGTACATTACGAGCTACCCAATAGCCGGACTTGACTGTGTATTGCCCACTCCTAGTGTAACTCCAGCAGAATGTATCTCTACGATGGGTTGAACTGATTGCCATACTCCTTATGAGAGGTATATCATCAGTGTCAACATATAGTGCTAGCCGATCCAGGTCCCATGTTTCTTGATTGATAAGATCGCTCACTCTCATATTTAGGTTCAGCACCGGAGCTGATGCATGCGCTGGTCTTGCTGGGATTGTGGGAATCCACGGATCCTGTCATACCTTAACTTCATACCCTGAATGAATTTTTTGTCTAATCCCCAATAGCAATAACTCCCGTGCAGCCGAGATGCTTGTCCACACATACGAAGGACTACTGACAGTGTGCTTTCGCAAAGGCGAACTTTGTCTATAATATCTCCCTCTCATAACACGAGCAACCATTGAATCCGGATTTTGTGCCAACCTCCATAGCTGCTTTCCTAGTAATGCCAGGTTAAACTCATGTATCATCCTGAATCCAATTCCGCCTTCCTCCTTGGGCTTACACATCTTATCCCATGTTGTCCAGTGTAGACCTCTCTTTGGTGGGTTTGAGCTCCACCAAAACTGTGCAATGGCACTAGTACATATCTCCAATGGGAGCAAGAAACAAGACATAACATATGTTGGAAGAGCCAACAAGATTGACTTGATCATAACTTCTTTTCCTCCTTTGGACAACCATCTACCCGTCCATCCATTCACTCTGTTCCGAAGTTTGTCTTTTAAGAAAGCAAACAGCTTGCATTTCGAGCCACTGATGTCCTCTGGTATCCCTAGGTAGGTTCCCATTCCCGTGTCATTATGTATCCCAAGTGTGTCTTTGATCTCCTGCCTTACTTCTTAACCGATCCTCTTACCAAAGAGTAAAGAAGACTTGTCAAAATTGATGCACTGTCCCGAGGCTTTTCCATATTTTGTAACCATTTTCATCACTTCTTCACATTCACGGGGCTCCGCCCTACAGAAAAACAGGCTATCATCAGCAAATAGCAGGTGGGACACCGAAGGACACGCATGCGTGATGCGCATCCCCGTTATCTTTTCCTGATTCTCTGCGTGATTAAGAAGGCTAACGAGCGCTTCCGTGCATAGAATAAAGATGAAAGGGGACAAAGGATCCCCCTGACGGAGACCTCTCTCCGGGACAATATTTCCTCGTGGCTGCCCATTCATGAGTACCTTATACTTTACTGTCGTTATGCAACGCATAATCCAAGTAATCCAGATTTCAGAGAAACCCATCTTCCTCATGGTGGCTTCAATGAAAGACCATTCCATACGATCATATGTCTTACTCATGTCTGTCTTGATAGCCATTCTCTTACTGCGCCCACTTGGTTTTGTTCTTAAGGCGTGAAATAATTCCTGGGCAATCATTATGTTGTCTGATATCTGTCTTCCAGCAACAAAGGCTGACTGGGTTTCAGAAATCCTATCGGGAAGAACCTTTTTCAGTCTTTGGCATAACACCTTTGATATAATCTTGTAACAAACATTACAAAGACTAATGGGTCGCAATTGACTCATCTGATTTGGCTTGTCCACTTTTGGGATAAGGCATATATTAGTGTCAGTGAGCCCTGTCGGAATAGTGCCTTGAAATAAGAATTCATTAACCATACGAGTTAAATCATCCTTAACGATATCCCAAAAATTTTGATAGAACAAAGCAGTCATTCCGTCAGGACCAGGAGCTTTCTCAGGATGCATAGCAAACAAGGCTAATTTGACCTCCCATTCTGTGACTGGAGCTATGAGCCTCTCATTGTCTGCAGGTGTAATTGTAGTGGTTACTTCTGAAAGTGCGTCCTCAATATCCTCAGGGTTTGATGATTGAAAGATTTGTCGAAAATAACTGGTAGCAATGGCTACCCGACCTTCCTCATCCTCCACTACGTTCCCCTCTGCATCTAAAAGTTGGGTTATCCTGTTCCTCGCTCTTCGCTGCTTCGTTAAAGCATGAAAAAATTTTGTGTTTCGATCTCCCTCCCGTAACCAGAACACCCTACACTTCTGCTTCCAGAATAATTCCTCCGCCTTAAGGGCATCAGACAATTCTTTTAAAGCCGCCACTATCTCCTCTGTAGTGGCATCATCATTAGAGGACAATCGATCCACCTTTTCCTTTAACTCCTCTACACTTTTCTCTGAATTCAGATTGTGTTGCCTTTTCCAATCACATAGCGCTCGCCTACAGCTCGTAATATGTTCCATAATACTTGCATCCGGTGGAAGATCTGGTGATTTCCATCCTTCAAGTATAATTTTTCGAAGTTCCTCATTCTGAAGCCATCGCTTATCAAATTTGAAGTTTTTCGATCTCCGTGGCTTCTTCTTCAGAACGTCTGCCAAGATTGGACGATGATCCGAACCCCAAAGCCTCAGATACTGCACTTTCGAATGAGGAAACTTCTCATGCCAATTCTCATTTCCCACAGCCCTATCAAGTCGACATCTAACGGTAGCATTTCCTGCTCTCCTTCCTACCCATGAAAGCATGTTTCCTGTGAAAGGGAAATCCAGCATACCACAATCACTGAGCATCTGCTTAAAAGGCAAGAAAGAGCTATCTGTGCGTTGTCTGCCTCCTTCCTTCTCTTCATGACAAGTAATTTCATTAAAATCACCAATCATAAACCATGGTCCATTTCTTGTTGTTGAGAAACGCGTAAGACGTTCCCAAACTAAATCTCTTCTTTCTACTACAGGATCCCCATAAACAAATGTCATATAGACTTTTATTCCATCAATGACTGCTTCAATGTCAATCATCCTATTATTCAAAAATAAAATCTTAACCTGAAAATCATCCATAAAAAATAAAGCTAAACCACCGCTGAGTCCATGTGGCTCAACGGTAAACAAACGGTCATATCCTAAGTCGGCATGAATGTCTTGCAACAGCAGCCTCCTGTTCTTAGTTTCAGAAAGGAACACTAGTCCTGGGCGATGCTTCTGACACATCTCCGTAAGGCGTCGAACTGTGAGGTCAGTTCCAATCCCTCGACAGTTCCTACTGAGTGTCTTCATGGGTGAAAGTGGGATGGGTTTTTGGATCCCACCGAACCACTTGCTTTGCTTGACTTTGACCGATCCTCTCTAGCATTATGGCTAAGATGTTTTGGTTTAGCCTTCTCCCCATTGGGCTTCTGAGTAGCAGAACTTAGGACTCGCAATCGTGGAGATCCCCGACGAAGGACCTCTTTCTTCCTAGGAGTTCGCCTGTTTCCATTCCTCCCTCCTTTCAAATTCTTTGAGATTTTTTCCTTTACAGGTTGGCTGGAGGTATGTTGTGGACTAGATACCTTCAAATCCATGAGTTCCTCATCAAAAAGATCATCCTCCTCATCCATTTTTTCCACTCCCTCGTGTGAAGCAGTACCCATATCAGATAAGGCCTCAATTACTCGTGCTTCATCATCATCAGGCGCAGGAAAATCAGTGTAGTATGCCAAAGAGCGCACCACACTATTTGGACGAACCGTCACATTATCTTGCATATTTGGAGACGTGATTTTGCTGGCTAGCCTCTTCTTCTGTGGACTTACATGAATCGATTTTGTACCAACAGCATATCCCCGCTCAGTACTGGACAATACTCCATCTACCACCGCTTCATCATGGTCATAAGGACCTGAGCGAGCAAAACTCCCCCTATCTCCATTCCGTGATCCTCTGTTCCCCACTGGTATAAAATTCTCATGCCCTTCATCCCTACCACTGACCTTGTGGGGAGAACCAGCGTCGGTAAAAACCGCAGAAGCTTTAGCTTTTGTGGTCCTTTCCAAGCTTTCTCTTCGTGGAACATCATTACGAGTTGTGCGAGGAGATCGATTCCTATTATTCTCGGCAGTGACAAGCTTCTCCTGAATCTCAGACCTACGGTCCTCTTGGTGATCAGAAATATCCCCATGGCGAAAATCTGATTTCATCCGAGCAGAGGACGAAGACTCCAAACTCCTATTCTTCTCACGCCACTCCACCCTACCCCGACTTATGGCCTCCCTTCCACGACTTCTCTCAGCCTTCTCAGCTCCCGTCTGCTCCTCCACTACCCTGTTCCGCTCATTATAACGAGAAGAAGCAAATGGCTTCTCCCTCCGACGACTGTCATACTGGCGAGTGTAGGGGTTCTGGGCCTGCCTATTGTGTTGTTTCTCAGTGCGCCTCCGCATCACCCTGTCTGGATGTTGATGTTCTGAACCATTACGGTGTGGGAGACCAGCGTCTTGGCTAATAAAAGGTCCAGAATTCCCAGAATAGGCGCATTGGAATTCATCAGTGCGCCAAGAAGGACGAGGGATTGATTTGTTATTAAGCTAAGCTTGCCGCTTTTGATGATTCTCCGCAGAGGTGGATGTGTTATCAGGGAAGTTCAGCCTCATGTTTATGTCTCTGCGACCTACCAGTGTATGCTCCTCGTCTTTAGGTGCAACAACTCGGTCAAAAACATTAGTTTGCTGTGGTTTCAAAGGACAATGGTCCTTCTCATGGGTTAGGAAACCACAAGTTGTACAATGTTTGAACAGAAGATCGTAAGTTATCTTAATTGTGACTGCATCGCCTTCTGAATTTGTAGCCAATCTTGTGAACTTAAGAGGCTTGCGTGTGTCAATATCAATAAGCATTCGTCCCTCCTCAAACTCTTTATATATATATCTTGTGTTCTAGTAATTTAATGTATTCGAAAATATACATTCCCTCTATTAATAAGACCTCACTTTTCTCATGCGCGTAGCTAGTTCATGAATTACATTAAATTTACGTGTAGTTTTAGATAATGGTTATAATAACTGGAAAATTTATATTGAATTAACATGTATGTCTACAGAAACTTGGAAGGAAACAAGTTAGTGGGTGCTCTTCCGGCCAAACTACTGGAAAGATCAAATAAGAAGTCGCTTGTGCTAAGGTTGGTTCATGACTATATTTGGGTTTTGAAAACAATGCAGCTGTTTAACCAATTATGTTTATGTTTTGGCCTTGGGTTCACGTTTTCATAAAATCTCTGCATTTAAATCATTTAGATATGGCGGGAATCCGGACCTCTGTGTGTCTGCTTCATGTCAAAATACAAATGAGCAGACAAAGAATGTGTACATCATTCCAATAGTAGGATCAGTGGCGGGAGTGTTTAGTCTTGTAGTAGCGATAGCTTTGTTCTTGATGTACAAGAAGAGACACCCAAGCGGTAAAAAAAAACAAAAAACTAACTATCCTACATTAATCTTTCTCAAATTTGTAGGCTTCCTTCTAAGAGTACTTATCATCATATCTTTACAAAACGATACTACAAATACTCAGAAGTTGTGAAAGTTACAAACAACTTTGAGAGGGTACTTGGACAAGGAGGTTTCGGAAAAGTATACCATGGTGTCCTAAATGAAGAGCAAGTCGCTGTCAAGATTCTGTCTGAATCATCAGCTCAAGGGTACAAAGAGTTCAGAGCAGAGGTCAGTCTTTTATATACTTTAAAAGGTTCATTCATTATAATATGAGGGAGTTATTAATTAGTAATTGGGATACAAATCTACTTGTTTATCATCAGGTTGAACTTCTGCTGAGAGTTCATCACAAAAACCTAACCGCACTTATTGGATACTGCAACGAAGGGAAGAACATGGCGCTTATATACGAGTTCATGGCTAATGGAACCTTAGGAGAATATTTGTCAGGTCAGTCTCTATTCTACTTACTTTTTGGTCACTGGTGTTCTGCTACTGTAGGCAGAGGAAACTAAACTCACCTTTGGTTATTTTCTTAATCCGGGGAGAAAACCTTATGTCTTGAGCTGGGAAGAGAGGCTACAAATATCATTAGATGCTGCACAAGGTTTAAATGATTTTCAAAACTCGTACAAAATAGTTAAAGGGAAAATAAAACGAAATGAACTTAGTCTAGAGTGTTTCTTTTCTGAAACTCAGGGCTTGAGTATCTTCACAATGGCTGCAAACCTCCCATTGTACAAAGGGATGTAAAGCCGGCTAATATACTAATCAACGAGAAGCTTCAGGCCAAGATTGCTGACTTTGGGTTATCCAGAAGTGTTGCACTGGACGGTACTAACCAGGATACAACTGCAGTTGCTGGAACTATTGGTTATCTTGACCCTGAGTAAGTAAACAGAGTCTTCTGTTATGGTCTAATATTAGATTGTTACGGTTTCTAAGACATTGTTTTGCCAAATGAAGGTACCAATCGATGCAACAGTTAAGTGAGAAGAGTGATGTTTACAGCTTTGGTGTGGTTCTTTTGGAGGTGGTGACGGGCCAACCGGTGATTTTACGTTCAAGAACAACAGCAGAGAACATACACATAACCGACCGGGTCGAGTTGCTTCTGTCCACAGGAGATATCAGAGGCATTGTGGATCCAAAGCTAGGAGAGAGGTTTGATGCTGGTTCGGCTTGGAAGATCACTGAAGTAGCAATGGCTTGTGCGTCTCGTAGCTCTAAAAATAGACCTACCATGAGCCAGGTCGTTGCTGAACTGAAAGAGAGTGTAAGCAGAGCAAGAGTCAGTGGAGGTTCCGGCGCCAGTAGTTATACAGAGCCGGCGATGACGGCTGCTGACTCGGGAATGTTTCCTCAGGCGAGGTAGATGATTGCTGAACCCATCTGAGTTTTTATTTTCCTGAAACTGGAACGGTCTGTGCGTTGTGGAGTGGGATTATGATAATAAGAACAAGGTTGAGTTGTGTGTGTGTTTTTTTTGTCACAAAGTTGAGTTGTGTTAACCTTTTCTTTTTGTGAGATACTTGTACAAGAAGTTTCGTGTTTAAAGGTTTTGTCATTTTCTCAGTTTGATCAACCTGAGATCTCTGACCAGAAGAAAATTGTTGATCACTCCGGTTTTAACCCGATCAACTAATGCAAATGCATAGTAAAACACGCCGTAGTAATGCGAGATCGAATTCACAAAGAGTAGATATACATTTCAATTCTTACTTCAGATCATGTTAGAAGACACAAAGATTATGAAGTTAAAACGATGCAAGCTATGGAAGAAAAGCGCTAGACATTAGGGAATTAGCAGGAAATCATGTCATGAATGTAGATGATTAGTCAAAGAATTAGTGAAGAACCATTCTTGAACTCGAAACACAATTTTATAATCTTCTTACTTTTGTGTCTCCAGTTACTATGTCTAACAATCTAATGAACTAACTGTCGCTGAACTCAAGAGGTTAAATTGTCGCTGAACTCAAGAGGTTAAACACACATTAAGAACAAAGTTTGATAGGTTCACAAAGCACATTAACATCAACTTTTGTTGGTTAAGAAAACTTTCCTCACAAGGATTAGTTTGTGGCAGGTGGGTCGAACATGAAATATGTTGTGTCTCAGTCCCCTGTCCTTACTGATCGGCCACAATCATCCGGTTGCAACTAGACCAATTTTTGCTATCTCAATTCAAACTAAGCTCATTGAACTAAATGACCAATCAAGTTCAAGCATTAAAAACAATACAGCTGACAAACTGTAAAAAAATTCCTTAATTTATCAATCGTAAACATTCACTATCTTCATTTCCCTTGAAACTCTAAAATATAACAGTGAAACTACTCATACATAGAAGCAGAAACACAAAACAATGAAAAATACATAATTAATGGACTCCATGTCAATCTATATATAATAGCAAACTGAAAGTGACATCAGCATTTTTTATAGGAAAAAAAAATGCAATCCAATGGTCATAGTTAACTTGATTTTAAGATCTAATGGACCAAAAAAAACTTTTTCATATGATTGATGATGTCATCAAATATTTGACAACTCTTCATTGAAAAGGCATATATTTCATTTTAATAGCCACAATCATATTTGTCATACATTTTCATAAGTTTAAATATTAATATTGACTTTTTAGAAGATAATATTTGTATGTGTCGTGANCATTTTCATAAGTTTAAATATTAATATTGACTTTTTAGAAGATAATATTTGTATGTGTCGTGACCTAAGAGGTATGAATGTGTCGTGACCCAAGAGGTACAAATGTGTCATGAACCAAAAGGTACGAACGTGTCGTGACCGAAGAGGTGCGAACGTATCGGAACCGAAATGGTGCGAACATGGCAGGACCGAAAGGGTGTGAACGTATCGGAACCGAAATGGTGCGAACATGGCAGGACCGAAAGGGTGCGAATGTATCGGGACCGAAAGAGTGCGAACGTGTCGGTACCGAAAGGGTGCAAACGTGTCGGGACTGAAAGGGTGTGAACGTGTCGGGACCGAAAGGGTGCGAACGTATCGGGATCGAAAGGGTGCGAACGGTTTGGGACCGAAAGGGTGTGAACGGTTTGGGACCGAAAGGTTGCGAACGGTTTGGGACCGAAATGGTGCGAACGGTTCGGGACCGAAATGGTGCGAACGGTTCGGGACCGGAAGGTGCGAACGGTTCAGGACTGGAAGGTGCGAACGGTTCGGGACCAAAAGGGTGCGAACAGTTCGGGACCGAAAGGGTGCGAACGGTTCGGCACCGAAAGGGTGCGAACGGTTCGGCACCGAAAGGGTGCGAACGGTTCGGCACCGAAAGGGTGCGAACCGTTCGGCACCGAAAGGGTGCGAACGGTTCGGCACCGAAAGGGTGAGAACGGTTCGGCACCGAAAGGGTGAGAACGGTTCGGCACCGAAAGGGTGCGAACGGTTCGGCACCGAAAGGGTGCGAACGGTTCGGCACCGAAAGGGTGCGAACGGTTCGGCACCGAAAGGGTGCGAACGGTTCGGCACCGAAAGGGTGCGAACGGTTCGGCACCGAAATGGTGCGAACGGTTCGGCACCGAAATGGTGCGAACGGTTCGGCACCGGAAGGGTGCGAACGGTTCGGCACCGAAAAGGTGCGAAGGGTTCGGCACCGAAAGGGTGCGAATGGTACGGCACCGAAAGGGTGCGAATGGTTTGGCACCAAAAGGGTGCGAGTGGTTCAGGATCGAAAAAGTGTGAATGTAACGTCACCAAAAGGGTGCAAATGGAACGTCACCGAAAGAATACGAATGTAACATCACCAAAATGGTGAGAATGTAACGTCATCAAAAAGGAGTGAATATAACATCACCGAAAGGGTGCGAACATAATGTTACCAAAAGTGAACGAACATAATATCATTGATACTTATGGATGCAAGTCATTAGAGTTAAGGCCGAGCCATCATGAGTGGTAATCATATTGTTCATGGTCAGGTGCTATGGACTATGATCCATAATATGGATCGATGGCTCAAAAAGAAGTGTATTGAAACAGCCTTAAAGTTTTATTGTACCTTGTAATAAGTATAAAAATATATACATTCATATGTATGGTAATGAAAGCACATAGACACTAACATCAATTTTTTTTTTTTTTTGAAAAATGGAAAGGCATGACTCCTGATGATAAATACTACACACCTATAGAAATGAATATACAATCCAAGGTGTATCGTGTTAAACAAATTATGGAACTACTTTATAAAGTTTGTATGCCAAATTTAAATGCAAACCAGTTTTAAAATTAAATATAAAAATAATAAGAGAAGGTTAATTATTTATNCCTTTAGAATTAGTTGTGATTTTTATTAAGAGACAACCTCTCATTTTATTTATTAAGAGACACAATCTTTCAGTTATTTCTTTAAAGAGACACAACTTTTCATTTTATTTTGTATTTTCAACCTTTCACACTAATAGAAATTTTTATTAAGAGTCTCAATTTTTTTTATTTGGCATTCACAGACTTTTAAATTAATCAAAATTGTGATAATTAGTAGATTTTTATTATGAGAAGACACAACTCTTATAACTATTTTAAATATTTTTAAATTATTTTTTCTGAGACACAATTGTTTTTATAATGAAAAGATGCAACTTTTAAACTAATATATTTCATTTTAATGAACAGATATAATCTTTCAAAAATTGTTATTATGAGAAGACACAATTCTTACAACCTCTTTTAAATACTTTTAAACTATTTTTTATGAGACACAAACTTTTTTATAAAGAAAAGATAGAATTTTTAAAATAATAGAATTATTTTATAAAAAGACACAATTCTATTTATAATAAAAAGATGCAACTTTTAAACTAATATATTTCAGTTCTTAT